AACTTTATCTAAAGAAAATCACAAATTTTCCATCTCAAAAATATTTATATCTCATCCATCTAAGTTGGAGGGAAAAGACCATTTTTATACTTTGTAGAGAAGGGGTTTTAGTCATGAAAGCTACCATAAAACCTAGCATCAATGGCAATCAACTCTAGCCATTAGGGCTAAAATTTACAAATGTGCAAAACTCCCATGTACATAATATGATCATCAACTCCATCATCAAAAGATAAGAGTTACAAAGGTTGAAAACCTCCCTTGCATAATGCTATTTAAATAATCCGACTAGATGGGTCACAAAATAGATACGGGTGTTGGGTTACAATCCGATCTAAACCTAGTCCAAAATATATGCACAAGATAGACTCAGTCCAACATTGCACAATCTGGCTTATATCCAAAACTGAGTCCAACACATGTACATACACAAGCCTAGGCTAGTCTAGACCAAAATTAAGACTAAGTCCAAGTCTAAGCCTAAGTCCAAACCCAACTTCTATTGATACCTACTTTATGAAACAATTCTCATTCACAACTTAATGGTTTCGGCTCATTATTTCTGTATTGCAACATTCTCACTTAAGAGAATATAAAACCACTCAGATCTACCTCAACTGGCGGTTAGGTCCTACTTTAATTTCGAATTAAAGTGGGCAAAAAACTATTATTTTTCAACAAGGTATTTCAGAAAGAATGGAACACAAGTTTCTACCATTTTAATACCACTACAAATACATGGTAATTTGGATAGATCAAATCAAAAAAAGAAAAGAAAAGAAAAGAAAAGATGAATCCTAAAATTACACACACATATATAATATATATATATATATATATTTATATATGAGCAATGCTATTGACCTCGAATTTGATCTTACCTCGAATGACTTGAATTTTGTTTTGCCGGTCGTCCGACCGGCCATTCGGCTAGTCGTCCGGTAAAAAAGCTGATAGTCGCAGTCGATAAGGTGATAACCGTGATAAACAAGTGTTTCATCCAGTCGTTTGAGTAGTTATTCGGCCGGTCATCCGATGAATACAAATTCGAGTCATTCGAGACAACTCAATTCGAGACAGTAAGAATTTCCCAATATATATATAGTTGGTCAAGCTTCTCAAATGAACAAAGCATGGAGTGGCATAGTACACCCAAAAATCAAGGCTAAAAAGACAAGTTGGATTGGCATATGTAAGTATATTATCTAGTCAGGGAGGATTCCACCACATATATATAATTACATACATACAAAGTTATGGTCCTCTCATAGCATGGAAATGAAATTGGTGTTTGGAAGGCCAAGTGCTTCTCACTTTTCTTACCATAAATGAGATCAATGGCTAAGTAAATGGAGGCCTGGATAGCACATGGCAGTCGCCTTCGCTTTTGTCATAGTCGCAGTGATTAAGTTTCAAATAATAGAAGGGAGAAATATATACATACATACATATGAGAGAGAGAGAGAGAGGGGGGGGGGGGATGGGGGATGGTGTGGTGTGGGGTATGGTAAATAATGGGATGGAGAGTTTATATTCTACAATTAATTATTTTCAACAAACATCAGATGTGAATCATATCTAAAATATGGCAAAAGCTAATTTCAAAAGTAAATAGAAATATATGGGTCCGACTGGTGTGTACTCCTCTCATTACGATGATACGATATAACTTTTGTATTAACGCAATGTGATTGAAATTAGGGTAAATTACACTCATTTCCTTTGATATTTCTGATAAATATAAGGATCTTTCTTATAATTTGAATAATTATACAAATCTTTTTTACTTTAATTGACATTGTCAAGATTCTTCCATTTCGTCAAATTGGAACAAACGGTATTACTTGCATATAGCAAATGACCTTATTACCCTTCCTTTTGAGCACAAAAAGGCGATAATGCCCCTGTCTCTTTTGTTTACATTATACAGTAATTAAATTATGAATTATTTTTTAGGATTTATTACTCTTATTACCCTTGCTTTTTTGGATTTATTTTCTTAAAATATTAAAAAATGTTTAAGAAAATTTTATTTATTTATTTTAAATATATAAATTTTATTTAAATTAATTTTTTTTAAATTTTCAATACTTTAGTTTATTTTGTAAATATTTTAATTTTTGAAATTTTAATATTTTAAACTCAAAACACAATTTCACACTCTAATCGTAACCAAATACATAATTCGAAATTCTATATTACTTTCAAAACTCTACACTCAAATCGTAACCAATACATAACAAAAAAAATTAAAATATTTAAAAATATATTTATAAAATAAAATAAAATATTTAAAATAAAAATTATGTATTTAAAATAATTTTTTTTTAATTTTTTTAATATTTAAAATATTTAAAAAAATATCACATAAATGTATGAAATACAGTGCACATTAAAATAAATAAATAAATATTTAAATTATAAAATATTTACCCCAAAAAAATAAATCTAAAAAATTTTAAAATACAACTCAAAACCCTTTTCAAAACTTATAACCAAATTAATTTTCTCTTTTTAAAACTCTTAACTCAAAATACGACTCCACACTCAAATCATGATTCTAAAAATAATTTTAGAAAGTAAAATAATTTTTTTAATTTTTTTTTTAAATTTTAAAATAGAGTTTTGAAAAAAGTTTGGTTTTGAATTTTGAAAAGAGTTTTAAATTGAGTTTTGAGTTGTGTGTTTGATTATAAGTTTTGAAAATAATTTTTGAATTAACTTTTGAGTAATTTTGAGTTGTGTATTTGGTTATGAGTTTTGAAAAGATTTTTGAAAATTTTTAATTGGAATTGTGATTCTAAAAGAGAACTAAATATGTTTCTTTGTTATTGTTTGGCTAATTAATTATTTATGCTTCTAGTTCACCTCACTGTAAACTGAAATTTTGATTGGTGTAATAATATAAAATAAATAAATAACAATAAAATTTAAGATAAATTTTAACAAATGTGGATAACCTACTTGTTGTTGTGTTTTTAAATAAAAGGTTGCAATTGTAAAAAAAAAAAAAAAAAGGCACTGTTTTGGACTTTCGACCGGACAATTGGCCGAATGTCTGGGTGGACGACCAGTCAACATTTGGTATTGGCATATATAGATGGGTTGAGGACACTTGAGGGTATTATTAGCATTTTAGTGTTTAGCTTTGATGACATTAATAGGTTCTGTGAAGTGTGTAAATGGAAGTCAAAAAATGGAGAAATTTTGACATTGTTAAGTAAAGTAAGAGATGTTACTGTAATTATTAAAACTACATGAGAAGTCCTTATATTTGTCAGAAACCTCAGGGGAGGTAAGTGTAATTTACCCTTGAAATTATAATACTATGTCAAATAAAATTTTACACTAATAAAGTGCTTTTTTCTACTGATAAAAAAAAAAATACTCGAATTATAATTTTGAATTATGATTGAGTAATTCAAACTTATTGCATTGTAATTTTAGGCATTTTGCATTTAAATAGTAATATTATGTAACATATTAGTATGAGTTGTGATATAATAATATCGGAAGTATCAAGCCATTCATATTAAGAATTGAGTCATGATTTTTTTAAAAAATCAGCAACAATAAAAATAAAAAATTATAGTTGTCGAAACTAACGTATCGATTGTGAATTGGCTTGTGAATCATGAATCAATTATATATATATATATATATATATATATATATATTTTGATATTTAGAATTTTAAATATTAACTGATATATGTCTTATCAATTGTCAAATAATATATCAGTTAATACTGTTTAATGTTAGCCGACATATATATGGTTGATACTAATACATATTTTAATAATATTATTTAAAATTGTAATTGGTATTTACTCCGTTCAAAAAATTGATATATACCAGAATGTATTGATATCAAAATGATAAAAATCTAATATATATATATCGACCAATATTTAAAACACAATGGTGAGTACGCACCAATAAAGACTTCGTTTGCCGATCAAAAAAAAAGTAAGAGATGTTACTATAATTATTAAAACTACATGAGAAGTCCTTATATTTGTCAGAAATCTCAGGGGAGGTAAGTGTAATTTACCCTTGAAATTATAATACTATGTCAAATAAAATTTTACACTAATAAAGTGCTTTTTTCTACTGATAAAAAAAAAAAACTCGAATTGTAATTTTGAATTATGATTGAGTAATTCAAACTTATTGCATTGTAATTTTAGGCATTTTGCATTTAAATAGTAATATTATGTAACATATTAGTATGAGTTGTGATATAATAATATCAGAAGTATCAAGCGATTCATATTAAGAATTGAGTGCCGTAGTCATGATTTTTTAAAAAATCAGCAACAATAAAAATAAAAAATTATAGCTGTTGAAACCGACCGTACGATTGTGAATTGGCTTGTGGAAAAAAATTTTCAATTTTTGGAATCAATTAATATATTAATATAATATATCGGTATTTAGAATCTTAAAATATTTAACTGATATATGTCTTATCAATTGTCAAATAATATATCAGTTAATACTGTTTAATGTTAGCCGACATATATATGGTTGATACTAATACATATTTTAATAATATTATTTAAAATTGTAATTGGTATTTACTCCGTTCAAAAAATTGATATATACCAGAATGTATTGATATCAAAATGATAAAAATCTAATATATATATATCGACCAATATTTAAAACACAATGGAGAGTACGCACGATCATCCAAAAAGGATGCCTAGTATAGATTTTGCCTAGAAATACTGGATTGGATTATTTTTAGTAAATCCAATATTTGGTTGGACGGACTGAATAAGAATCTTTATACTAGAAGATGAAATCTTGAGTGCATCTTAGTCCAACGTTCCATTCACCCCCACTAAAAGTCACTTTCAGAGGTCCTTTTCTCTCTCTCTCTCTCTCTCTCTCTCTCTTTCTCTCCAATTCCCAACTAGTCTCATAAAAGTAGAACGGGGAAAAATGAATGGTGAAGAGACTCTGAACTCTGAATCTGATGAGTGATTTCCCTCTTTAGCCTTCTGTTTTGTTAATTCTTCAATTCAAACCACCAAAGAAACATACATAACATATTATATCCAACACCATTATATCTTCCGAATTTATTTAGTCCGAATTTGTCCGAATGAAAGAGACTTCCGCATGGGAGTCTTTTTTCGGGAAGAGACTTCTTTAGATGAATTCGGACTAAACAAATTTGGTGAACGAATCATTAATCTATTTTATATACATGAGAGTGAAAATATATATGTACATATAATTTAGCGTAAAGACGAGATTGATGAGCTTGTTTACTTTATAAATTCTTAAATACCCATCTCTTGCTCCAACTCTCTTCCATTCTCTCTCTGTCTCTGTCTCTCTCTCTCAAGTCGAGGTTTGTACAAAAGAAAGAGGGGAAAGCAAAGAGAGAAACATCAGTTTTATCTCCTTAATTGTCTTCTCTTTTCTTGCATCATAACCAGGTTAGTGATCTAAGAAAATCCATACACAATTTGAATCACTTGAAAGTGCTTTACCTCTTCTATGATAATCTCTTTTTGTCTCCCCTTCTTGTCCTGATTACTGCAAAACACCCCTTTTGGTAACCAAGAAGTGTTTTTTTTTGGTAACCAAGAAGTTGGAGGAAAATCACTGGAAATCTTTGAATAGGGATAGATATCTGAGTTCTTTATTTTATTTTATTTTCTTTTCATATGATTTCTCAGCAATCAAACAAAAGTCTAATGTGAAAAGGAGGAGGTGTATGGTTTTCTTTCTATTTCTTTTATTAATAAACTTTTGTTTTGTTGATCAAAAGAAGAAAAAAGAGAGGCTAATGTTGAATGAATATAGTAAGATTATGAGTTCTGTAATCAAACCAAGGGGCTAGCTAGTGTTGATTGAATTTTATTAATTTTGTGACTAAAATTTTCAGCTTGCAACCATGTCGTATCTGAATCAATCGATGGAGGTCTTGGACTCTCCCCAGAGAAAAATAGGTAGGGGAAAGATCGAGATCAAGCGGATCGAAAACACTACGAATCGCCAAGTCACCTTCTGCAAGCGTCGAAACGGCTTGCTCAAGAAAGCCTATGAATTGTCTGTTCTTTGCGATGCCGAGGTCGCCCTAATCGTCTTCTCCACCCGCGGCCGCCTTTACGAGTACTCCAACAACAGGTATTGATTTTTCCTCCTTAATTTCTTAAGCCCTTTCTTTGTTTTAAACTTTTCATTTATTAGGTATGAAAAAAACAAATTTATAATTTTTAAAATTTTCTAAAAAAATGAGTTTGAGATGCTTCTTGTACCTGCATGATCTTGAGCTTCTGCAAAAGAATTTTGTGGGGGATTTAGTCTTAAAAAAATACAATCATTTTTTTCTTTATGCTGTTTGGTTTGTGAAATTTCTCCTTTCTTTTTTGCCCTTTTGTTTTTTCCTTGTATGAGCTTAACTGGTTTTTTTCCCCTTTATGGTTCTTCTGTGTTTTTTAGTTTGTAGACACATAGATCTGTTTGTAATAGATAGAAATGGAAGGCCTTATTCTTGTTGTAGCAACAAGTAGAGATTTGGGAAGTTATTCTGAACTGTGAGATCACCTCTTATCCCTCCTCCATTGCTGTTAACTTTGCTTGTTTTCTATCTTCCTTTCTTTCCCTTTATTCCTCTCTCTCTCTCTCTAGAGCTCTCTCTCTACATGTCATCTGTGATGCTAAGCAAGCCTACAACAAAGTTGTCAATCTCTGATTTGCTCATTTCCTTTCATTTCTTGACCCTTCCTTAATAGGGTGTCAGTTGAACATCACAAAGCAAGCACAAGGACTCTCCGAGGATGTTGTCATCATAAGCCCCATCAAAAAACAAAAAAATAAAAACATTGTAATTAGGGTTTCACATACAAAATCAGCTTTCTCTTGAAATGTGTTAACCTTTCAAAATTACAGCCAAATTAGGGTTTACACAAACGTTTATTGACTTTCTTCAAAGTTTATTGAATGGTTTTCACCAAAATGGGGCAACACTTCTTTACAGTCAAACGCAGGGAGATTAGGGTTTAATAGTAACCTATGCATGTACAGGGTTTTCCACTTTTACCAAACCTTTCTACAGCCAATCAAAACCCTGTTAGTTTTGTTAAAGGTTGCTAATTTCGGATTCAAATGGCCTCTATTTTTTTTCCCCCATGTATAAAAAAAAAAGAAAAAAAAAAAACTCTTATTGTAATCCATGTAATAGATATTTTCATTTCATGATTAATTATTCTAAAAGATTCACATTAATAATTTTTTTAAAATAATTAAGTTTCAAAACTTATAACAAGATAATTTTGATAATATTGTAACCTTATACATGGCAAAATTTATTTAGAGTTTTAGGTAGTCAAAATTTTGAACGATTTTATGTATGAGAAATATTTTAAATTCAACTTTAAGACTGTATTTAAATCATGATTTGAGTAAAGATTTGAAAAAGAGAAAATAAAAAAGTAAGTGAATTATGTATGAAATATAAATACATTTCATTCATATTTTCATTAAAAAATCTTTATCAAAATTTATGATCCAAATATAACCTAGGGAAATTAACATTTTAAGTTCATTTTGAACCTTTCAAACTAAAAATAAAATAAAATAAAAACCAAAAGTCTTAGAAAAAGAAATGATTTTCTTATAAGTATACACTCAAACATAAAATTTAAAAATTTAAACTAAATAAAGTGGAAGTAAAATTTGGGAAATTTTCATACTTAGGAGAGGAGATAAGGATATCTGGTTAGAAATGAAGAGGAGATTAGAGGTGGGTGGGTGGTGAAGTTTTGGTCATAGTTAGAAGAATCTTTGGTAACGTCAGCACACGATTTTTGCAGTCCTTGGCTTCTGACAAAAAAAAAAAACACTAGTTGGTGTGTGTTTGAATCATGATTTCTATATGGAGGTGTCTCTTTCTTTTTTTTGTTTTCCATCAATCTGAACCCTAATTTTATCTTCAATGGTGAAAACCCTTTTCTGGGAATTTCTTTACTTCTTGAAAGTAAGGTCTCTTCTCTCTCTCTCTCTCTCTCTCTCTCACAGTGAAGCCTTTCATAAAGCTTCTGAAACTGTGAAACTGAAACAGCAAAGACTACAGAGAGGTGAGAACCAATGAGAATGGATCAACTTGGGTCATCATTCTTGTCCTGTAAAACCATCACCTCACTGTTTGGCATTGGTGGAGAACTTGGTTTTACATTTGTTGGAGATCTGTTGGTGAAAAAATTATGTGGTCTTTGGGAGAAATTAATGTAGTGTCATAACTTGATATTTATCCATTAAAGTTGTGGATGGGTGCTTTTTGTTAGGATTTTATGAAATAAAATTTGACTAGTGTCAAGTGATAAAAAGCATAGAACAATACTCTTAAACCATCCAATAATCACTCATGTTGGTGTGTGTATATATACACTAGTAGTGAGTATAGTAGTGAGTATAACTGCGATAGGTTTACAAGTTCATAGTTATATGAATAATTTGATGATTGATTTGAGAAATGATGGTTTGTTTTTTCTTTTTTGATTATTATAGCAATTTTGGGCAATTAATAGATGAGGTAGTTATTTTGAATAAAAACATAATAGACATCTCTAGAGTTTTATCAAATTTTTTATTAAGTATTTATATGAGTGTAGATCCCGCGCTCACATGGGTCTGACAACCATGTGAGTGTTTAGTAAAAAAATTGATAAAACTCTTGGGTGTTTATTTGGAAGAATTTGAGGGGGGATTGAGCTCTATGTCCAATCTACTACGGAATCTATTGTTTGATTGAGAATTTGTAAGCCTAATTTGGAGTCTCACCAAATTATGAATTTCATATATATTAGACTATTGTGTCCTAAGAGAATGTGGGATAGAAATGGTGAGATTGAAATCCAATGAGATTAAGTTGTAACATGACACATTTGCCCTACAAGTATTTGATTTCATTATGTATTGTATTTAGAAAAATAAAACAAAAGGAAATATAAAAATTTCAATTAAAAAATAAAATGGATTAAATTTATTTAATTCTTATTGATGTTTAATTATTTAATTATTTAATAATTTTTTATAGATGTTTTATTGATGATTTATTTTAAATTTTTGTTGATATTTTTATTTAATTAATATTTTATTTAATTTAATTATTTAATTTTTATTTAATTTCATTATTTAATATATATTATTTTTTAAAATAAATTTATTTTAAAAATAACATAAATTTTTATTTAATCTAGCAAAAAAAATTAAAATATTAAAGACAGATTTAGTTTTGCTATTACTCAGTAAACAATTGAAAATGATAAAATAGTCTATTAAGCAATTATCATTCTTCATAATATTTCAATTAAAAACCCCAAGGTAAGTGGCCGAATGGTAAAGTCTGGAGGATAAAATCCACAGGTCTCGAGTTCGAGTCACCCCTTGGGGCCACTGGAGGTTTTCCCGGTCGTTAACTTTAGGGCCCTCAGGATTAGTCCTGGCTTCCCTTAAAATCAGCGGGTTGGGGATACCTGAGTTATCAAAAAAAAAATAATATTTCAATTAAACATTGGATTTTATAGGATAGTCATTTTTAGACATCTAATCCCATGAGAAAATAAACATGAGATGCATATCATTTCTAACCAAATAGTCTAGAAACTATATATTCCAAAATTAATTGTTCAATAGATTATAATCACCCCTTTCCATCGAAACAAACATGGCCTTGGGGTCTTTGGTATTGTTGGATTGAATATGAGGGACATGATAGAAAAATGAAAATAACGGACATGCTACACCAACTCAGGTGTAAATTTTATATAATAGAATACTAAAAATAAAATAAAAAAAGATATATGTATTTTTTTACTATAACCTGTTGTTTTAAACAGAATTTCCAAGCTCAAGTAGTTTCAGATTCAATTTTCAAATTCTAATGAAATTAACTAGTGAAAACACGGTTTTTAGATTAAAATTATGTATCTGACTTAAAAATATTTTTGCAATAAATCTACTGAAATTATATTTTCAAAACATGACTTTCAAAATATGAATTCAAACACAGGCATAGCTTCATAAAACAATTTGAGTTTGGAAAATAAGTTTGAAACTGTTTGGATTTGAATTAATTTTTAAAACCAACTTACATTTGATTAATAAAAAAAAGCTCATATATATATATGTGTGTGTGGGCGCGCGCGCATTAGGTGCAAATATGATGTGTTTCTAATTTTACTTTTAAAAATTTGATTTAAATATTGTTAAATATAGAGGACATTTACAAATAAATAAATAAATAAATAAAATTGACACAGGATTCATACCAAATGTTATGTATAGGTTATTTATCAGAAATGCACTTAACCATTAAAAAAAAAAAAAAACTATCCCCAAATGAATAGATTTTTAAAATTGATGTGGTGTGAGTTCATCTAAAATGATTATGATATATAGATGTGTTTTCTAGATTTGTAGTGTAGTATTACTCATTTTTTTTATGAGTAATGTTATGTAATTTTTTATTTTATTTTATTTATTATTATTATATTATTATTTTCACTACACAAGACAATAGGATTTACATTAATAATTATACATAAAATTTTTCTTATTTTATTTTCATAGTCCAGAATACCAATAAATATTATTTTTTTTATAATCTTTATGTGATTATTAATGTGAATTTTATTTCTTTATGCGAAATAAAATTAAAAAAAAGGGGGCAAATTACTATCATAGTCTCTATAGTTTGGTCATTGTGTTTGGTCCTTTTAATTTCAATTGGCTCAATTTTAATGTTGAATTCAATTGATCCAATTTGTTAAAACTCTTACTATTTATTTTTTTATTTTTATGGAAAATATGTATACAAGTGGAATGTTTCTTAAAAATTATAAATTTAGTTAACTCACCGAGTTATTCTCAACTAATTCAGTAATTATTTGTTGTAAAAAATATTAATATTATTAATTAGATCAAATTGATACAAAATTTAAAATTAAGATCAAAATTAAACTAATTAAAAATGTAAAAACCAAAATAATATGAAGAGTAAAATGTAAAAATCAGTATAATTTACCTAATAAAAAAATGAGATTATGGTATATTTTGAAAAGTAAGTTAAAAGTCACTTTCCAACTCTCTAATTCCTTCCTCATAAAAAAATTAGAAAAATGGTC